CATTACTGCAGCAGCATGCTTTCTTTTTTCCTTAGGATTATTTCTTTAATCCTCCATGCCTTTCTAATATGTACAGAATAGCTGTGAGTTAAATGGACTTACAGAAAGGAAAAACTTGAACAGAACTGATTAATAACTCTCACTAGTTTTGGTGTAGCTTCACAGTGTTTCTCTGGGAAATACTGACATTTGTGTTGTCTTGAAAAAAGATTAATGTTGAACAAAACCCTGTGAAAAAACAAACTTGAGTGAACTACACATACATACAAGCAAATATTCAAGCTGTTGAATGGTTTTCTTAGATAAAGCTATTTAGCATCTTGAATGTGTAGCTTTCATTGAACTTTGTACATAAATCTTTGGGGTATTTATTTGGCTGAAGAATTTTGCATTTTTGGGGACAGAAGCTGTCCTGGAGGACTGGTAGTTCATTTAGAAGTGGAGTTCTGTGATTATTTCTTTAGGATGTTTATTTAAATATTATATAGGCTGGCTGTTAGCTTTCCCAGCAGTGGCATGATACAGTTCTTGGTAAGAAAAGCAGTTCTTAGAACTTGAATCAGTGCAGTGCAGCAGTTGAAGATTGTTCTTCCAAGATGGATAAATGGAAGCATCTGTGCTGATGACTTTCAGGGCTTATCTGAATTGTCATTTCAGAAGGTTGTTACTTAACCAGTGAGCAAGGCAAAAGAACTTGCTTTTACACTACAGCAATGAAAATGCACTTCAGTTGAGTTAGCAGAAGCAGAAATTACAAAAACCAGCTAGAAAGAAATGGCATATTTAAAGCTTATCTTTGATCCCACAAGTGTTCTGCATGTTTTAGTAGTTTAGTAGTAATGGAAGTTACGAGTAATCTTAACTATGTTTGTTTTTCTTCCCTTCTAGCATCTGAAGATTCCATTTTGAAATAAAGGATTGGATCTTAATTTTAGATACATGGCTAGGCTCTGAATGGTGTAGTGGTTGATGGTCTCTGCATGTTACTCTACCAATAAAGTACTTAACCACGCTTCAGTTGGTATTTTTGACTAAATTGCACAGAGCAACAACAGAAGTATTTACACAGTGTCAAAGATTGCACTGGTCAGAAGCTGACCATCACAGCTGCTGATGAAACAATTTGTGTATTCCTCTATCAACAGAGATAGTCTCCACACTAGTTACACTCAGGGAATGTTGCGATCAGGAAATTCATAGATTTTAAAACACACAGGAGTCCATGGAGAAGGCTAGCATTGCACTGGTTGCCTGTACCTTTGTTTTAACTAGCTTAAGTAGAGTATTGCTGTGATATTTTTTCAGCCTTTTTAACCACAGTGGAAAATGGTACTGCTTTTGCTTTTGACAGTTACAGACAAATTTGACTTTGATTTGTCAAGCTGTTCTGTAACATGAGGAATTAGTATTGACTTAATAGCTTGTTTTTAACAGTTGTCTTTCACAATTTCACAAATGGTCAAGTGCTCCCTGAAACTAAGAAAAATTGCCATCTGATTGTAGTTTTATCTGTAAAACAGGGCTGGCTATACTTATGTGACTGAAGTTTAAAAGCTGTTAGCCTTTAACCACTAATTTAGTAGCATTTCTTCCTTTGGAAAGCTGAGTGGAGGTGGAACTGTTCCTCTCCTGCCTTACTGAAAGGAGAACAGTGTTTCTCAGCTTTAGATGGAGTCAGAACCTTGCCAGCTTGGGGAAGAACAATGAGCACATCTTCCAGATCCATGTGAAATGGCTGAAAACAGAGCTGTACTCCCTGCTTTCCTAGGAGCTTTCTATCTCTGTCCTTCAGCTTCTATCCAAGAAAAACCCCCACACATGCCCTACTTCCAGTCTCACAGGGGTATTAATTTCCAGCCTCTGCTTTAAAAGCAACTATGACCTGTCCACATTAGCTCCTGCCATGAGATCCGTATAAACAAGACTCCTTTCCTTGTCTCCCACTGGTGCTGAGAGCTGATTCAAAAGTTGAAAACCTCTCCTGGGCTGCTGAGGGGGAACCATGCCAGGTTTCAGTCTTGTCTAACTGGCCAGTATCTTAAGTGGGAAGCAAAGTATACGTGTAGTTCTTGACAGTGCAACAAGATGTAGAGACATTTGTTAGTGAAGGCTTGCTGATCAGAAAGAACAGCTGTTCCAATGTTCTGGCAAAAAGATGATGCAGTTAAATGCAACCATTTTGGAAAAAAAAAAAAAAAAAAAAAAAGAAAAAAAAAGGATTGCATGACCCCGTCTGTGATGCAAGAAAGTCAGTGTTCCTCTCAAACACTTAGCACATACTGGACACTGGGAGTGAGAGACGTAGGGACAGGCAGGGAGAACTTCTGTCTGTAATGGAAGGGTTTCTTCCCTTCAGTTGATGCGCTCCAGGCCATTATAGCTAATGGGAATGTCCATAAATTAAGCTGAGTGTGATAGTGTGATGGGGAACACAAAAACAAGATATCTGCTGGCTTGAGAGCAAGGAGCATCTGTAAGAAGCACAGCTGGGACCTTGAAGTGCAGCTGCGCTCCTGTGAACTTGGCATGGCTGAGATAGCCTTGCTAAGTGCAAAACCACAGAAGTGCAATGACAAACATTGTCTAGAACAGTGGAACTCAGTCTGAACATGTGGAAATTGGCATCAGCTGTAGACTGCTGAAGCTGGAAATACAGAAAAAGCAGTCTGAAAAAGTCAAAACTATTCTGGGAAAATAGACAACTGCATTGTCTATGGGCTATTCAGTTGAATCATAGAAGTCAGCAACATCTATTGGCTGTGATGGTGGTGTCCTACACTCATTTATGTCTGCAGTGACATAAAAATGTCTCACTTTCTACCCAAAATGTAGCATCTTTCTGAGACCCCCCTCTGTAAACCTCTCTGTCAGACCTGCATGAGCCGGAATGGGTAGGAGCCACACTAGGGGTGCCTGGCTGGCTCCAGACTGTGGTATGAATCATCATCTCAGCACAACTTTGTCCATCATTGATAAGCACCAATTGTAGGAGTAATTTGGTGAGTGCTTTGAGATAGTATAGAAATGTATATGGGCACACATCTAAGTAATTGATCGTAATTATATATTCTTTTTACTTGTAGTGATATGTAATTATTTGTCATATATACTTGCTTTACCAGTAATAGTATTACTACATTACTACAATAGTAGTAATGCTATGTACCAACAGTTTGCAAAGAAATTCAATGAACAGAAAAGCCTCTGCTCATGGCTTCCCACAGGAAGATGAGGGGCAGTCAGCTGCAGGCAGCTGAGGAACAAGTCGGACGAAGCCAGTTTGATTGCATTTCTGTTGGCAAGAAAACTGCATGGAACACAACGGGAGATAGTGAATGGTGCTTGAGAGGGCAAGGCTACAGTGCTCAGGAGGCAGGCAGCCTGAGGAACCAGTGCTGATGTCCAGAAGCAGTCCAACAAGGTGGTTTTGCACGGTAGAGCTGCATGTGCTCTGCATGGGGCACCTCTGCCATCAGTGGAAATGGGAGTGGCAAGTGGGGAGCAGCCCTCTGTCTCCAAAATGCACTCATGCAGGTGGGTGGGCACGGGTGCCCCAGCCCGGATACTGTACAAGCCAGCCCTGCATCTCTGAACTCACACAAGTGCCGCCCACAGCAATTTCAGCATCCAGCACACAGGACAAGGAATTAATTATTGGCTTTATTTCCAGGAAAACATCTGAAGTCAAGGAGAGCTTTTCTCAGTGACAGGCATTTAGCTTACAATGACTTGAGGTGATCTTAAGAACCCACTTCTTAGCACACCACAATAAGATCATCTCACGGCATATTGCCCACTGGTAACAACTTGTTTGGCTTGGTGTCCTGGAAGTGCTGCCATGTGATGCAAGCCTCCTACGTGGTTGCAGATGAAGCTGAGATATAAAACACGAACCAATTACTAGCTGCATATTTAGCTTTTGAGCAAGTGGAAAGGTTTCTGTATTCTCTTGAAGGACAACTTGCTGCTCACACAATAGCTGCATAGCGACAGAAGATTACTTCTTAGTGCACTGGGATCTGGACAAACAGTCACCAGATACTGCTATGGCTATAATTTCCTTCTACTTACAGTACTTCTGTAATGCAAAATAAGTTACTGAGGGATAAAAATACTGAAGGTAGCAGGAGTAATAGAAGAAGATCCCCACAAATCAACTCTCATTACATGGCTGACGTGCCCGCCATGCTCTGAGTAAAAGAGAGAGAGAGAGAGAGGGCAGGGGAGTAGAGAAGGGTCTTTCCTCTACGATAAGAGTATTCTAACATGGTTACATTAATAAACAGGAAAACTAATTAACTTAAATAAAGGAGTAGAATTTATCACTCTTTTGAAGTTTGGAGTGGACTGAGAAAATCAGACATCTTAAACAGGAGGAGAAAAGGAGGAGGGCTGATACCAATCAAAGGAGGATGTGTTAGATAGCACTGGCATTACAAGGTAAAACAGAACAAAGTCAGATGCCACAGTTCAGGTTGTGTGGGTAACTGTATGAGGCGCTGCAATGGGTAGTGATGACACTGCCTTCTCACAACCGCATGTCACAGCACAAAGCCTGCGATAGTGCACAACATGGGTCCTGTTTGTGAAGCCAGCATCTACTGGGTCTTGCAGCTGAGGGATCATGTGCATAGCAGCAGCCAACCCAAATTCCCAAAGTGAATGCAGAATTACTACTATGTGCATTCCTTGGACTTACAGAGAAATGTAGCCTTCTAGAACAGCTCAGAAGTTCTCATGCTTCATCCCCACCTACAGATTTCTTTCTGATATCCTCAAAGACAGAGATTTAGATATTATAAATTTAGCTGTTCTTCACTTTTTCTACTCTGCAGGCTATTCCTTGCACACATGGACAATCTGGGAGATTCACTGGCTTTGTTAGCTTTGGGGTCTGCAGTATTTCAGTGCTGGAGCAGTGTTTCTTCTGTGGCCACGCAACCTGATATATTGGGCCAAACATTGCTCTGACTTGCCACATGCCATCTGACACCATCAGGTATGTTAAATGCAGTGAGAGTCAGGACAGGATGGGTCCCTTAGCATCAAGAAGAGATGCAATTAAGGCAAACGAGATCTAGCCCTTCCTTGGTTGGTCATAAGCCTAATTAAAATTGTCCAAGCAGGAATATATATTTTAAGCCAGGACTTTTTGTTGTTGTTGTTTGTTTCTAAACATGGGCATTCTCATTTTGGGTGGATGTATTGCCTTGGAAATAGATCTAAAGTATACTACAGGTTTTTGAAGTTGGAGCTGTTCCTCCGTTGCAGGTTATTCCATCTGCCATACAAAAAGAAAAAAAGAATTAGAAGTACAGTGTAAGTGCACTAGAATCTCTTCTTATTCACCACAGCAGAGTTTTTGGACTTGTAAGATATTGAATGGTCAGTGAAATACCTGCAGTACCTTCATCTAGAGATATCTGCTATGCAAAGTAATTGTAAATGCAGTTACTTTGGAATTGTTTTAGAGTTAGCAGAAACCTTCTTCACTTAAATACTGATTACTCAGTCACGAAATAACTCCCCAGAGGTCATATCCAGAGTATTTATTTTCAGTACTTTAAGAATGGAAATGAGATAAGACCTGTAAACTCTGTTATTTGAATAATGTCTAAACTAAGGAGCTGTTCAGGGAGTAGCAGTGGACTGTAGTGCAACAAGAAGATGCTTCAGTGCAGCCTTCAGAACAGAGGCAGCAAGTTCTGACAGGGTGGTTTTCAGGCACCTGGAAAGGCAGCCAGGAGCCTTCCACTTCCACCTTTCTCAGAGCCAAACCAACCCTCAAGATATGAAGTACGTGTTAATATGAGCTTTCATCCAGTGTTCACTGCAGCTGATGGACTGATTCAGTGCTATCCAGATTAGCCCACAGAAAGTGGCAAATAGATTCAACCCAAATAAATTGGCAAGGTGCTAATTTGGGCTAGAAATGGGATGAACTACTACCCCAGGAATGTGTTAGCTATTTTCAAATCCTCCTGCTTCACAAGCTGTGAGATGGCACATCAGCCAACCCTGTACAAAGAGATGTGTCCCTGCACTTCTCCAGGGACTACAGACAGTGCACAGAACTTCTTGCTGATCCCAGCTTCATGGGAGCTTGTGCTGCATGTAGCCCATTTGTAAGGCACAAGTAGCCCCCTATGCTTCCAATGCCTTTCTGACAGCCTATCATGGTGCTAGGCCTTGAAGACAAAAATGTATTTTAGAGTCCTATTTTAAACTTTGCTAGTGGAGCAAGGCTGAGGAAACTATTATTGGCATCTGACATTGTTGGGGCTACAAGTCTTGCTGCAGGTCTCAGAGCGTACTGAGTAAGTGAACAAAATTATCAGTATTGGTTCTGACCTTTCTGTGCAGCCATTTTCTCTTCCTCCTTCTTCTTCTCTTCCTCCAGAGCTTTCATCTTTGCATCATATTCATCAGCACGGGTCTTCCACTCGTTCCTGTTGTTCAGCAGCCCATCGAGCATGGGCTGAATTTCCTCATGGAAACGTGAAAATTCCTGACCAAAATACAGCCATCAATGCCATGCAATGTGGAGGTACTGACTTGCCACCCATCCTTTGCACCCAGGACTGGCCCTGATCCTTGCCTGCTGAGCTGGCTACACAAGGAGGGCACAGATGGCATGGAGAGGGGCCCTGCAGCATCCTAGAGAGTGCAGCTGGTGAGAGGAGGAATTTCATCCCTCCTGAGCAGGGGGAAGGATGTGTCTCCTTCTCTCCTTCCCTCCCTCTTTCCCTGTGCCAGGAGGAGGACAGTGAGTTCTGTCTGCTGCTCCTAGTCTCATCTGGTATACAGATGATTCCATGCTTTTCTTGGACTTGGATCTCTTTGAAGTCTCCAAACATTTTTTCTTCAAGAGGTAGCAGAACAGATTCATTGAGAGATGGGAATCCCCTTGTTATCTCCTCTGCCTGCCCTTGTGCTCCTGCGTTCTGTTGCTGCACCAGGACTCTAGACACTAGGACCTGAATTTTGTGTTGAGAGAATGGTGTGCACACCTTACAGAATATAGAATGGTGTGCTTACCTTATAGACAAACGTGCACACAAAGTCGATGAAACCCACTTGAAGCTTTGGGAGTTCAGCAGCTTTCCTCCTGTCCATCATGGGCTGTGGTAGGACACAATCACAGCATGATATATAAGAACACTGCACTGGAAAACACTATTCTTTTTTCTACTCAGTGTTGCCCTGTTGTGTAAGCTGGGCTGTTCTGCTGTGCTGTCCATCACCTCTCTCATCTTCCTCTGAAGAGAACTGGAATGGGTTTATTTCCTATGCTGTTTCTGTAGAAATTTTAGACAGCTCTTTCTTTGTCTATTGTGAGATCAGGGACAGAATTTTTCCTTTCCCTCTCTCAATCAAATTTCAATTCTATAAAACATTTCTGAACATGGAATTATATTTTAATATGGTCATTTTGCTTACTGAATCATTACTGTATTATTTATGTTGCATCTGTGGAGATATACTATGAAAGTCTGATTAGTGATTTTCTTAAGTCTACTGGGTCTGTCACGGCTTGGGATATTCCATGATTTAAAAAAAAAAAAACAAACAACAAGCTGAGATGGGTGGAGACAATCTCAAGGAATAATTCTTGGTTCTTTCAACGCCAAATTTAAATATTTTCCCTATTTGAATGACCACTTTTCTGGTGGATTTTGTCAAGCCTGGGAGCCACGGGAAAACACATCTCTGAGAGCATCCCTGCTTGCAGTGAATCTCTATTTACTGTCTGAACTGCGCCCTCTAGCTCTCACAGGATACTTACAATGGGCTGCTGCTGAAGGACGCTTATTTCTAAGTCCCCTTGCTCCCAGAATTCTGCTGCTACCAGGAGAGCTACCTACATTGCCAAGGAGAGAAAAAAGTAAAATTAGCACTGATTTTGATTTCCAGATGGACTTTAGGACAGGGCTGACTCTGAAGCAAATGTCACTTCTAAGCCCTGGGTTGCTCCACACCCACATCCAGCCCCTGCCTTTCTGCTGGGAAGGGCAGACAGTAGCCATGGGATTGCGCCTGAGTAGTGATGGCCCAGATATCGTTTTTGCACTTGGACTTGTCAGCTCACTGCTCATCTATTAAGAAATGTTTCTAATGTGTCCTGCAAGGATTTGGCTTGTGATCACAGTTTTATGGTTTTCTATTAAGACTTTTTCAGCTGTCCTTTTTTCCATACTGAACGGGAAGATGGATTTTATTTATTTTTATCCTCCTTTAAATTTTAGTGTTTCTTACCTAGTAATTGATTAACTTCAGTTTAGGAAGGAACTCCTACCAGAAAAACAAACAACTAACAAAGCAGGAGGTATTGCACTAAAACAACAACAACTACCTGAACAATTTCCTTCTTTTTTTCTTTGCTCCATTTGGTGAATGTAAATGCCCTGCAGATTCCAAAACTATAATTTCAAAGATTGATTTATCCATCAAGAATATTATTATTATGAAGTATTTTCAGTAGTTTTAGTAGGAAACTTCAACACAGTTACTGAGTAGCTTAGAAACATACAATGCTTTCAAGTACAAGCTAGAGAAATCTGGCAGTATGTCAAGCACCTGACCTTACTCTGGACTTCCCAAGGCTTAGTGATTGCTGACAAATCACAGGCAGTCATCATCATGGCCCTAAAAACAGAAAATAGATTAGTTTCTTCTCTGTAGCCCTGAGGCTCAGGATGTGCATGTCCTACCAAATGTCTCAGTTCAGTGCTGAAGTGGTGGATAAAGAAAGGCAGGCTGCTGTAGCCTTGACTCTGACTGGGACATGGATCGAGAACTGCTTCATGGATCAAATGGGGTGCTAGGAAACTGCTCTCTTCTGACACTAGGAAGTTCATCCCTTCAGTCATTACTAGGCTGAACCTTGTGCCTGTAGGCTAACTCATCTGAGTTCCTTGCAGATGTGTAACAGTGAAAACTGCAGCAAGGTTGTAGGTACAACTCATCACAAGCACAGAGTGTTCTGCAGAGCCTCTGCTGGCTGCAACAGCATTGTGCAACTCAGATGGATTTTCGTTAGGAAGAACAACTCATGCATGAGGTTCCCTTTGCTCTGCCTTTGCAGAGCAATACATTTTTACCCTGTGGTTTTGCCTTGCTTCTCCAGAAGATCCAATTTGAGTGGACACTACCACATGCTGGCCTCCTCCTAAGGGCAATGCAAGGATGTACTGACTGCACACAACACCAGTGTGTTTTTTTTTTCCTCACTCAATTTACATTAGAAATCAAAAACAAAGGACTGTATCAGCTAGGGACTATTGCTTCTGAAGCAGAACAATGTTTCTTAAAACCAGACCTATTGTGGGTGTGTGCATGCTTTGTAGCTCCAACCACCCAGCCCCAGAAGAGGGACACTACCACATCTCTAACCCTCAAAGAGATGATCTACTCACATGACAACTTCTTTCTTTGTAGTCTCCAGAGACAGGTAATCAGTCCAGGCAGTTGTACTGTCATATGTCTTAGACTCATCAACAATCTTCTGAAACATCGTTCTTTTTCTTTGAGAAAAAGAAAAAAAAATAAGTTCCAAAAGAATGAAGTAGGTGTGTTAAAAATAGATGTCTGTGCTCCCAGTAGACATTTTCCTGGCAGTTATGTCTTTAGGGAAGCCCCCAGCAAAACCAGGCATCTTCACTTGCTTCTTTTAAGTAGAGGGAAGTATTGTAAATGGCTTAAAGGAATAATAAGCAGAGTAGTGAGATTTGAGCAGGAAGCTTGAAAGCATGTGCTACTTCAAGTAATGCATAATGAGAAGAGCTTCTGGCTTTCCTGACAACACAAGAAGGCTTTTTGCCTGAATGCTGAGCAAACAGCAGAAACTTAGAGCTAGCTTAGGTGTTAAAGCACCTGTAAGACTGCCTGTTGCTCAGTTTGATCTTGTTAATATTAGTTATAAACCTAAATATGGGAAGCAAATTCCAGGGAGGGATTTATATACCACACGCCCACCTTTTGAGTGGCATGAAATCTTGAAAAATCTGCTGGTTCAGTGCTAGTGACAAAGAAGGACCTTTAGGCCATATACACAAAGAAGCTTGACTATGTGCTCTGTCCACATTTTTTCACCTGGAATCTGATCTAAATTAATTCTTCACGTACAGATGACAAAGACCAGCTAGTTCCTACCTGGTATGGAAGGGAAGTGCAGATATCTGTTCCCATACAATCACCAAACCTCCAAAGTAAGTGAACTGGATTAGGGCTGGGGTTAGGGTTCCTTCCTCGTAATCTTTTTTCTTTTTTTACTATTTATATTGTGTGTAACCATCCTTCAGTGTAAAACACAGAAGTAATCTCTGGCCCTGTATTTCAGAGCACATTTTGAAAGTTCTTTGCTACTTAAGATGTCAAATATCATAGACTTCCAGCTTATGCCCCAGGAAATTAGTGGATATGACAACATGGTCCTAAGTTTTTGGCTTTGGTGAGTGAAATAGACTATGAACCAAGTATTCACCTATAATGAACCACTTACTATTTGAGTTGTGTTGGTACTCTCCCAGAGAACTTAATGGCCAAACCATTGACCATTAGTAAGTATTTTTAGTGCTGAAATGTTATAAAAAAAATCATCCCTTTATTTTGGTTAGGGGATCATACGGGGCCTTGTTGCAGACAGGAGGCTGAAAGTCAATACATGATATAATTAATCAAATTCAAAATTCTTTTGAACAATTTGAATTCTTCCTGGAAGCTCTAGTACTGACATTAAAAACAGTCCTCCATAGGCAATGTCTGTGAAGATGTTTGCTACCAGAGGGGCTCTCAGAGCAAAACATCACACTTTGTCTATGTACAGCTCCAGCTGCATGCAGCTCTTCACCCACAGTGTACGTGACCAACTTACTTGAAGTAGAGTGCCAGATCTGTTGCTATAATGGCAATATCCATCAGATGAATCATGTGCTCGTGCTGTCTCCGGTTGAGGTTCTGGCATATATTCAGTGACTGAAAAAAGAAAAGGAAGCTGCAAAATGCAAGTCCTGTGCTGCTGTGAGCTACTGGGAATCTTGCTTTCTCAAAATTGCTTTTTTTTTCTAGAGCTGCAACTTGCTTCCCTAAGATCTGCTGGTGCCTGGTCTCCCTCTGTACTCATGAGCAGGGTCAGTGTTTGCACCTTGATACACCTTGAATTTGCCAATTTGCCTGAAATGGAAAGTTAGCTGGGGGGGTGTATTGGCCTTGGTTCCTCAGGACTACAGGAGACAATCTTGTGTTTCGTGTGTTCCTAAAGGGGCTAATGATATGGCTTCTGAAGAATCCGGGTCATGTAAATGTTCTGGTCACTAGTGAGAAGAAAACACTTGAGAGTGGAAGAGAATGAGCTGGCTGTAGAACCTCAGAAACCCAAACCAGAGATATACCCTGTGCTCAAACTGTGGGCCATGGGTCACAGAATTTGACAGCCTGGTGTTTACTGATTAAAAAAAAAGTCACTGCAGTTAAATTACTCAGGCTTTTATATTACAGTTAATAACAAACCTCTTCAGAGAGCAAAAACTTTCCAAAATCCAGGTGATGTCTCTCTAAAATTGAAGATCCATGAAGTTTAGCTAAAGGATTTTGAGATCTGGTAGCATAAGGGAAAAATAAAATATGTTAGTATAGCACTTAAAAAAAAAGTATCCTATCTGATATTTGTCATGAACATTCAATTTATCTAGCAAAAGCTTAGGAGTAACATTGTCAACAGGTGACTCTGCTTATAGTTATTTGTACACTGCATATAATATTCTTCTGCCTGTGGATTTCACCTAAATTGTTTTTCTTGGTAGAACTTTTGTTATTGGGCATAATGAACTTCTTGTTAAGTTCCTGAAAAAGTACGTTTTGGCATCTGTTAATAGGAACTGAAAAACCACTGGTCCTTGAACATCTTCCTAGGCAAAGTGCAAGACGATCTCATATTCAAAGCACTTGTGATGAACTTGCAGCTTCACTTACATTTTTTCAAAGCTCCAGAAAGCAGTGGGATAGCACAGCCAAAAAGCATTGCAGAAGAGCTATGATCTGACACTACCTTGCTGTTTTTTTCAATCAGCTACTGGAAGCAGAACTCACATCCTCACATATGTGATAGGTGATAGGTTTCTGCAGGCAGCAAAGTCAGTGCTATGCATAGTGCTTTCCAGCAGAAAGCATGCTTCCTATGTCCAGGATGGTCATGGAAGCATCCTGCTTCTCCTGTGATGCTCAGACCACTAAATGCCTGCATTGCACCTGGCCTACCCTGTACCAACAGTGTAGAGCTTTGGTTTAACCAAAGAGCTGAGGGCAGCCTGCTAGGAGGCAGAGCCCAAGTTTACAGTATGCAGAAGAGAGAAGTTAATTGACAAGTAAGACTGTTACCCTGCATATAACAGAGCTGTGCTTAGTGGGATCACAGCCTGAATCCACTCCACGCAAGAGAAGCAGGAAATGGTTGGAAGTGGCAAGAAAGCACTTACTTCATCTGGTAGAGGTTGTTGGTTCCTCTGTGGTCTATATCATGGCACAGAGCAGCAGTTACCATTGCAAAGGCTTCAAGGTCTGTGTAGTAGCGCTTCAGTTTGCCTGTCTGGAGGGTGAAAATGTGCACGCCATCTGTTAGTATGTCTTACAGGAAAAGGTATGGGACTGTGACTTGGACAACCCCCACTGAGACAGCCCAGGAGAACTGGAACAAAGATAGATATTACATACAGCATGTTTAGATCAAAATGGGGAAGCAACTGGAAACAAAAGGTTTCAGACTCAAGTAGACGCCTGTCGTGTGTATATGCTTGATGCCCATCTGCAAGGTTGGTTGCCTGCTGCTATAGCAGCATTATGCCATTGGGGCGCTTGCACCCTGACAGCTACCTGCATGCCTTCAGTGCTGGGCCATAGGGCTGATCCATCACAAGCCTATGGTGACTAGAGCACTTCTGATGCCTCTGTTCTTTTGTGGGCATCTCTCACCCATGAGAAATGGCACTTTGCTACACTCATACTACAATCAAAGAGTCATCAAGATTGTAAAAGACCACTAAGATCACCAAGTTTAATTGTCAGCTCCCTCCCACCATGCCCACCAACCACATCCATCAGTGCCATATCCACAAGGTTCTTGAACACCTCATGGAATGGTAGTCCACCACCTCCCTGGGCAGCCTCTTCCAATGCATTACTACTCTTTCTGAGAATAATTTTTTTCTGCTATCCAACCTGAACCTCCCCTGGCTCAACTTAGGGCCGTGACATCTCATCCTTCCGCAATTCTCCAGGGAGATGAGGCAGACTTAGCAATGGGCTTACATACGTGGCTGTTCTGCCTACAAATGGGAAATGTGTGGTTGTCTTCATCTGAGCTAGTATCACTCATTGCCAGAAACTACTGGAGGAAAGGATGTCCTGCAGTCCTTCACCATACCATGCAGACGGATTAAGCTGGAGGCTCTTCAATACCAGACATGTCTGTGCCTACAGTGCATGCAGTTAATGTAAACTGGGGCCTCATATGGTGCTAGAAGTGACAAACCAATCCTATGTAGGGTTTGAAGGGAGCCCTGCATGTCTCCGAGCCATGACATCTGCCTTACTTGGGGTAAAGCCGTGCCACACAATGAGTAGGGATGGTGTTACCTTACCATGAGAAGTGTGAACATGGTCTGTGCAACGTTGAAGCCATGGCGCCAGTTGTGGTACGTTATCTTCCGGTAGCCTTTACTGACAGAGTACACAAACCTCACCAGAACCTGAAATTGGGGAGGAGGGTGTTTGATGTCAGCTGGCTTGTGGGTGAAGCTGACTGCTGCTGCTTTTGGAATAAAGACAATGCATAGAAATAATGGATAGCGGTCAGACCTTCAAGAGAGATGGCTCTGTAGGTCTGTAGAGATGGAATGTTTATCCCCTACGTGGTTATAATACAGAGCATTAAATATCAGACTGTTTTTGTCCACCTGTGTTCTGCTTATTTCCCTTGTATCTACAGAGGTTTTTTTCCATTGGAGAGGGAATAAGAGAGTATTCATTATTTTAAATCTTAAAGGGGCGGCAGAGAATGGCTGTTCTTCACGTCTGCACCAGGAGCATCGTTCCAGAGTGGACATTTTGAATGCTTATAACTGACTCGTGCTGTGGGTAAGAAGCACAGAGGTAACCCTTGTGCAGAGCCCTTCGTTTCCCTCCTGCACTCCTGCCGGCCACTCCGGTACGTGCGGGAGGGACGTGCGGCGGGAGGCTCTCTGTGCAGCAATCCGCGGATCCCACTAGATGGGGATAAAACCCACAGCATGTGCCGAAACATCCCTCGAAGAGAACGGGGAACGAAAACGCGTTTTCCTAATCTGACTGACACGGACTGTTTCAAAAAGCCTTGAATTTGCGAATTGAAGACTTTGGGGTTGAGTAAGGTTTGATAATAAGGTAGGCAGATTTTTGCACAGTGCAGTCTCAGTCTGTAGAGGCCTGGTAGCAAACGCATACTGGTAGCCCACAGAGCTTCCCACCGCTGTACAGAGCAGAAGTGGCCAGCTTCATGCTCCAGACTGATGAACGAGGTGGGGGTCCTGGGTTAGGGTTAGTTACCTCCTGTGGGATCTGGAACTTCTTCACCACGCCAAGCTCATAGTACATCTGAATGCCACACTTCACAAGCTCCAGTTCAGTGCAGTCGAAATCTGAGAACCTGAACTCATAGATTTCAAACTTGCTGGGCCCTGGGAGTTGCTCTTTCTGTGAAAGGCAAAATGGTTTGTTGCTATGGTATTTATGCTGTCTCTAGAAATACCTGGAAGTGGTTTTGCTAAATAAGAAGTTATCAGTCTGATGCTGTTGGAAGACATCTGTTTCAGAATGTGACACAAAAACAGCCCTAACAGGGCTATGTTAGAGCTAGGGTTAGGGTTAGGGTTAGGGTTAGGGTTAGGGTCAGGGTTAGGAGCAATCGCGTTACTTCCAAAGGACCTACATGCGCAAGGATGAACAACTTTTTACATAAGTAAATATTTTCCTTGAAGGATTTAGTACAGATGAGCAAAAATGTTTTCCCTCTTCCTCCGTTAAAATAGCCCTGTTAGTGGGGGAGGAGGGAGAACTCTTTTGGTCTGGCACAAGACATTGTATGCATTCTGTTAAGCACTCTTCTTTTTAATTTGATGTAGTTTGGAGAATCCAAACTTGTCAGGTCTTAGACTCAGGAAAAGTTTTAAAGTTCCTCATTCATTCTTGTGAAGAAAATGTATGATAGTTCAAGGCACATGGCATGTTCCCAGTTGGACTCTGGAACCCCGTGTGATAAGGAGGCACTAAGCAGGCACTTCACAGGAAGGCATTCTCTGCTGCTTGGTAATCACACAGAACACAGGAGGGGCAGGTGTGTTTCACCTTTGCCCTTCACCATGTGCCTCGTTGATATCTACCAACTCCAGCAACTCTCCCCTGCCTCCACCCAGGCAGTAGTTGTTTGCTACACTTCCAAGTTCACCTGCACACTGCCCTTACCAGAATACTTGCCAGCTCCTCTTCCTCACACTCGCTTGGCTCCTTCCCCAGCTTTTCTCGTGTTGGCTGCAAAGAGCATGGACACGTTACACTGACTACTATATCTTACAAGATTGTGTGCTGTAAAGCTTGGGGGTAATCCAGGGTGAAGCTACAGGAGGCAGCTCTGATAAATCATATTTTCCTCTCAGACCCTGCTTTTACTTCTGATCCTTCAACATATTCTTCCTTGAAGGAACATTATCTCTTGCTTTAATTTTGGCTTGTTTTTCCTCCACTTGAAAAATTCCCCTAGAAAATTCCCTGTGTCTCAGCCAGGCTTAGCGACTCTGTATCTTTTGTACCAAGATGGTTTTAGGATATAAATTAGCTCCTCTTTCACACCCTACAGCCTGCCCTGAGCAGCATCTGCATGAACCCACCTCCAGGCCTGGCTTAGGCACAGCATGCTGGGGCAGAGAGCAGAAAGCCTCAAGTCAAAATAAAGACTTGTTCTGTTATAGTGTGAAGGCTTCCATGGCTGGAAGACTTTATATGGGGTGGGAGACCTTGTCCCACAGACACAGCTGCTGTTGAGCACTGACCAGTATGCTAACAGGAGTACTGTACATTGCAAGTCATTACCAGAATTTCCTGAATTTCATCCTTGTCACACTTCACGTGGTAGAGCACCATATCCTGGGCGATATCTTTCCGGTTCTCCAGTTTGTTCATCTTATCATATGTATCTGTGTTGAGTACTGACCAGCCCAAAAACTGTGTCAGGGACTTGGAGAGGAGAAAAAAGAGAAACAGTGAAGTAACCAAAGTGTCTGTTTCCTATGGCCACAGAAAGATAATGCTGTATAATATATTATTATAGAAACATGAGCTCCAGTCTGGCCTCAAGTTTAGCAATGAGCAATTGCATGTTTGTTCCTCTAACTGTTCTTCACCACAGCAGCTCCCCAGCCGGTGGATCTGCCTAGATCTTAAGACTGTCCATACCATGCAGATTCGAGGACCCTTTGTCCTGGGAAAACTACTTGCATATGTTGTTACAAGTATTCAGTATACTACCCCATGTCTATGGGAAAGGCTGCAGTCACAACCATGATAGCAGGTTAGGAACCCTCATATCAAGGGAAAGCATGATGGTCTTGTCACCTTTCACATCTGTTTAGTCATACTTTGTTTGCTTTTATCTTATTTGCTGCTCAGTGGCCAATTTGAATTGATTTTTTTTTTGCTTGGTTGTTTATTTGGTAGTAAAAGTATTTCAGCAAAGGCTCTGATTGATAATGGATGCCAAGATCTATATGTGCATGTTGGATTGAAATAAAAAAGAAGCATTTCTCAGCCACAGTGGCTTCGCTTAGCGCTACTGTTTGTAGATTCAGCAGCTGGCCACACCTTGAATCACAGCCACACTGATTACTTCTGTGTAATTGCCAGAGGGAGTTGCCCAGCAGTATCTGAGCAGAGGTCAATATAGTCACATTACTACCTCATAGCTGCTGATAGCTAGGTGTCCAATCTAAGAATGCTGAAACAGAATAATCTAAACATAGGTGAATTTACAAATTTCAAAAGCATCCAACTTTCATTGAGTCACCTTCAAAACTTTCCATCTACTGCATAACCTATTAAGAAACTTAGTTGCAGAACACTGGGGGATGTTTGCAGGAGCGCTGTGAGAAAAAAAAATAACCTCTCTCAACCATATGAACTTCTCCCAGCCACGGTAAGGAATTATACCTCCATCAGGGTCTCATCCTGTTCATCAAATGGTTTCCCATCTTTTCTGTTAAAAAATGTGACAACGCCAACAATTTCTTCCTTTTTGTTGACTATTGGCATGGAGAGAACATTTTTGATAGTCCATCCTGATTCGTCTAGAGGACCTTCCTTGAAGAAATAGCAAGCAAAAAGACACCATATGCTTAATTTGTTTTCTAAATACAGCAGCAATCCAATTTCACATCATGACTTCTGATGAAAAAAATACCTATGTGCCTGATATTGACTCTGAATTACATTTCTGTAAGTAAAGTGGAATGCTTCATAGAACTAGAAGTGTTCACATTACCTGAAACTTAAACATCTCGTCTGCAGCAGCATTCATAATATTGCAAATCTAGGGGATCACAAAAAGAAATACATACGTATTTTACAAGTTAGACACAGAAGTTGATTAAAATGCCAAAACAAAAAAAAAAACGAAAAGCAGCTTTAATGAAACTTCATTTCAGAAAGCCTTAATGAAGTCCAAGCTATGCACTTACAAACCCACTTTCAGCCACATATGTTGGCAGTCCAGTAACTAGTGCCCAGTGATCCGGCGTAGGATTTCTGATAGAAAGAAAATGGAAAAGGATAATTAAGAGTATGTATTTATTGAAAGACGATGATAACAGAGCTGGCTGCACAATCTACATATGCATTTCACTCTCAGCTATCAAGCAGTTTTGTTACTTTCAAAGGACCTACATGCACAAGCATAATTTTTTACACAAGTAAATATTTTCTTTCAAGGATTCAGTACAGATTAGCTCATAGAATATACTCAGCAGAGCACTTGAGTTAAGAAAAAAGTATTCCTGGTAGTGAGGGTCATGTTTCAGAGCTACAGCATAGAGAAAAAGAAAAGAAAGTCTCCGGTTAAGAGTCAGCCAGATTAACCCTGCTGAATTTCTATTGTGGGAGCTTTTCTTGAAGCATGAAGGTGCATATCAGGTGGATATTACTGCGTAGTGGTGTGACCAGCACAGGTAAAACTTCTATTGTGTCCTCAAGGAGACCTTTAGCCACATCCTACAGCAGTTGGACAAGTGGTGAGTGGAAGTGCTGAAGGATGTGGGGAAGTATGCCGGTAGGCATCTGAGGATGTGGAGGGTGCATGTGTATCTATATGTGGAAGCAAGATACATGAAGATGAAAGTGGGTGGCTAAGAAGCTTGATGAGAGGGGAGCATTCTCACCAACTCCTGCAAATGCAGCCATTTATGTTTCTCTTCTCATGTTTTGTAGGTTGAGGAGAGAAACACCATACAGAAGTAGCAGTTTGGAGAGTTAAACCACTAGAGAAGAGGATGGTTGGTGGGGGAAGAAGAGGAAGAAGAGGAAGTTGGTGGGGCTCTGCTTCTCAGAGCCCACTGGAATGAAGCCCAAATCTACTCCGCAAAACTCAGTGGCAGGAAGTGAAGGTGATTTTCAGAACGAGAGTCTCAGGGTAAAGAGAGGAGGAAAAGTCAGAGACAGCCTTGAGGGGGGTGACCAAAGGAGAAGAGAGCAGAAAAGAAGCTAGAGGACAGGCAGAGGAACAGGAGGGACTGTGTGGGTCGAGAAGATATCCAGATGAATGGTGGGCAGGGCTGCGACTGCAGATGCCTCAGCACCAGGGCAAGCTGGATGGGCTCAGAGGCGAGCACAGGAAAGATACCAAGGAGTAGTGATGCCTTGGGTTAGCACAGACAATGGCAAAGCTGCAGGCAGTCAAAGCAGCTCATTCTCACACAGAAACAATTGCTTGTTGCAGTGGTTCTTGGAGCCTGACTTACAAGCTGGGAGAATCCCACTGCCCTGGAAAAAACCTTTGTCCCACATAAATATAAGTTGAAACAGCATCCTACATTCTGGCTTCTTACTCAGTCTTGTATGAGTCCTCTGCATATCTCTTTATGAACATCTTTAACTCAGGGACAACCTTTGTTTCCGCTGCACTCTGTGTCTTTACCAAGCACACACAAACAGTGGCAGCAGTCTGGGCACTTACGGGATGACTTTAATGTCTTCTTTTCCATGTAATATATAATCGATGACTTTGTAAAAGACTATTTCCTGCAAATAAAAAGAAGAGCAGTGTTAAATATAGTGGTGAGATAATTCATCAAGACAATAAGACTGTAAGACTATGTAAGACTATAAGAAATATGGCTGTCGCTTACTCTGCCATCCGGAGTGCGAGGTCCTGAGTAAGGGGGAACTTCTCCCAGCAGGACAGGCCATAGATCAAAAAATTCCTGTTTTTCAAAGAAAAGAAGTATATTTAGAGTAGAAAAGTGCATTTTGCCTCAAATTTCAGAGTAACTGCTGCTTTACTATGCTGGTTTTGGTACTCTGTGAACAAGACATGAAACAACATGGCTAGAGCAAGGCTGGGCAGCACAATGGTGTACCTAAGCCAGAAAGAGTCAGGTGCCTTACAAGGTTGCATATGGCCATTTACAGCTTATACACAAGACATCAATCAGTGAACAGTGTGGACTGTATGCACAGAGCAAGCACCTATTTCTGTATTTTCCATGTTCCTCATTTTCCAGAGTGTTTCAATTGGGCTGATTTTCTACCTTACTATACCCAAAGAACAGTTTCTACTAGGCTATGTTATAATGCTTTACCAAAATAATGATCTTTTAGTATATCTCCTCACATGACCAAGTGCTGTAAGGGCTCAGGCAATGTGGTGGAAATCAAAGTCAGTGGTAGCCTCAGTTAGCCTGACCCCAAAGTAAAGCAGAGATGCTATGTAAATGTTGCTGTGTAACTCCCATGTAAAGCTTGTCAGTCAGCTTGCAAACAATCAGAACAAATCGGAGCTGTAGAGGTAATTCAGATGCTCTTAGTCTGCATTTCCTTGAAGCCAAATTTCACCTTGAAGCCTTGATAATATGCATGTGGATGAGGTCTTGAAGTGAGTGCCTGTTTTGTTGCTCTACTGGCATCTCATTTTATTTCTAGCATCCAAAGACTTGCTGAGGCTGTGCTTGCAGTGTGGGCTTTGGTTGGGATTGATGTTTGACAATTAAACTGCCTGCTTTGGCAGGGGGGTTGGACTCGATGATCTCTGGAGGTCCCTTCCAACCCCTACAATTCTGTGATTCTGTGATTCTGTGATTTTGTCTCCATTCTTGTCCTCTGCCTCTTCAGATAGTCCCATCCCAGTGATAAACTCTTTATTCTCCTCCTCTTTTCTTCATCCCATGTTTTTCATTTGTACAGTGGAATTAAAAATGCAAATCAAAGCAGGAATAATGACTTAAACCTAGCTTGGAGTTTGACTGTCCTAATAAGCCTTATCTCCACAAATCAGTCAGCTATGGATAGTAGCAATCAGAAATATCTGTAGCTCATCAGTGAACACTCACCTTCTGCTTTGTCATATCCAGGAGGCCTACTGAGTACCTGTCACAATTCAGATATGCTCTCACTGTATAGAAGGCCTTGTGGAATTGCCTCTCAATATCTGTCAATTCCTCAAAGACCTTGTTAGCTGACCACAGCAGCACCTGCAGGATAAAAGCCAATTGTAAGCATAGCTTTCCCTTGAAGCTAGACTTCCCAGTTGTGTTTGCATTAATAAGGTAACTGTGTTGTTTTTTTTTTTTATACTACAGTCCCAGTGCAATAGCAAAAGTGCAACTGCAAAGTGTAAATTCATTGCTTATTTACACCGGGAATTACTAAGGAGAGATGCATTCTGAGGACTAGTCATGCCATCAAGAGTACTGTGCTAAGGGCCAGTCTTACAAAGGTAATGGTGCCAAACAGACTGTACACTTACTTTTTATATCCAGGAGTAAAATCTTGCAAAGTCTAAAGGCTGGAGTTGGAAATATTTGAATCAACTCTTTCCTTAAAGGCTTTGCACAGATCTTGTGTGCGCATTGTCCTATGACCCTCTACCCCATGCAACACAGTGTGGATATAACCTTAAGAAAGCTTTTCCTACTAGGCCATTTCATCTGTAAAAATGGAGGTTCTGCAGTGAATTAGGCAGATGTTTCTAATAGTAAAAAGTAGGTCTTTGTGGTCATAAGGGGAGCTTTGTTATCTCTGAAATGATAAGGAAGCCATCTATGCAGATGCTGACCTTTGCTATTGCCTGTGTTCCTGATTGGGCCAGGTTGATTGACAGCTTTGCTGTCAGAGCAAAGGAAACAACAGTGCCAGTGCCTAGAAGTGCTGGTAGCCTCTACCTGAAGCTGACTGGACCTATGCTTGGAACACGGAGCACTACTGCTTGGCCACGGTCAGGAAAAGTGTGACTCATTGCTTCTCTGAGGGCTAGCAAACATCATATACAGTTCTGGCCTGCATTGTTCTCTGTTTCTGACCCTTGGGATGTGAAAGCTCTGGCACTGTTGTAAAGGCTAAGGTCTTCACAACAGCAATACTACTAAATACTACTAGCATCCCACAGATAGGACAGTGTTGTTGCCATGCAAATTGTTAATGGAAAATAAGCAGTGGCTAATCGTTGCTCTTTTACTGCATGCAATATGTGAGGCTGAAAGCCACAAATGCAGTGACAAGGATTGAAAGAAACGCATTACGGAAGGGCATTATGTGGTCTTCTACTAAGACTCTAACAGATTACAGTCTAACAAGCAGACTGTGTTCTCTTTGCACATGATGTTTTATGTGCAGGTGTTTTTTCAATATAAAAATCTTACACATCTTTGAGAATGTTGTTTGCTCAGACTGTACTGAGGTAGTTCTAAGTCTAAAGCAACAAACAGTGTTAACTGTTGCAGATACCTTTTGATCTAGATGGCCAAACATCTGCTAGTTGAGCTAGTTTAGTTTTTCTTTTCCGCCTTTTGTGGGATCTGCTAATACAGCGGTGACATATGGACATCTGATTCCAGGGTTCAAGCCCAGGTCAGAACACCCTGCAGGATGCACTGGTTCTTCCACATCTTGCCTATGTGTTTTCCTTTTAGACTCCATGCCCCCCTAGGCCTACTAAGCCCTCAAGAGGAATGAACTTTGGCTAACTCTACCTCAGTTAAATTACTTAGCATTGCTAGATGGCTGTATCACCTGGACACCATTCACTGGTTTGTGGAAAGAACTGTGCAAAGAATAAACCATGGGAAAAACTTGTGACTGAACAGGTTCCATTATATATACCTGAAATTCATTGATTTCTACTGAAGGAGAGAAATAGATCAGGCAGATGAGAATCATTCTGCTTTCACTAAGAAGAAATTCTATAGTATTTTTATAAGCATAAAAGATAATATTATAGTGTTCTTAATTGTTCTGGGAGATCTTTCAGTGCTGCTGCCTGAAGTAGATAAATGCCTCAAGAGTGTTCCATCACCTGAACTCTGCACAATATCTGTATTTACCAGCAAACAGACACGGTGAAAGACTGAGGAAGAGGGAGTATGTGAAAGCATCCAGGGGCTGCCTTTTCTTTCTGCTCTTTAGACACAAATCTCTGAAGCAGATCATCTATATTTCTGAAACCAGAAAAAGTGCTTTTGATTTTAAGATACAGCCCAATTTGCATCCTTGCTCTTACCTGGCCTCTTCGAGTTTCACAGTTGTGAAGATAACTCAAGTGATAAATTTTCAGGTTTAGGGAGGCAAAATTCAGGTACTTCAGGAAAAGCTGTAAAGAAAAACAATGGACTTGGGTCAAGTAGCAGTCTCATGTATATTGGATTTCATAACACCACTTCAGCAACGTCATGGTAATTCTCCTGGATAAATGCTTTGCTTTGCACCGGTGTGAGATAAGGCTTATCCCACTGTAACTTCCCTGAAAGATTTCTGAGATAAGCATCTTCATAATAAGCCTCTTCTGTTACAGGGTGGGTCCCCTGTAGGGAAATTTACACCATGGTGCTTCAGTAAAGCAGACATCCCTAATGTAGAGGGATGTATTACCCATGTTATACATGTTGTACAGCAATGCAACAACTGAACTATCGACCACTTACTGTTTCATCAGAGTTGGTGAAGAATGGGCCGTTCAGCTTATTAATAGCCAAAATGACAGCAACTAGATCTTTGCCATTCAAGATGGGTGTTGCAAGGATGCTTTTTGTAGTGTAGTCGGTGAGCTCATCAACAAATGAACTGAACTGGGGACACTGTTCAAAGGAGAGTTTACAGATTAAGCACTTTAAACAATATTTGTAGCCTTAAAGCCAAACTAAAGCATAGATTCTTGAGGCAAACTGTCTAGAGAAAAGTTTTGCTTACAACATTGAGGAAGATAAAAAACTAGTAGAAAATTGCATAATGAACAGGTAATAGAACTAGTATCAAAGAACTGGCTATGGCTGCTGATTGATTGCAATACACATGCTTTTTACAAAGATCTTGCTAACTATAATCATTTAACATGTTGAACTCTGTCAGAACAAGGAGGGTCTTCACTAATCATCCTCAGACAACTGAATTCCTTCATTATAGCTCCTGTATAATTTTCTCCAGTGTTGTATTAACACTGCAAGGTGCACGTAACTAATTTCTATGCAGTAGTGCGTAGCTACAGTTTATAAACCATGCTTTATATTACAGTCACTAGGAATCTCATTCAATCTCATTTGTCTGCATGGAACAATCTAGACCTTGGCTCTCCTGATAAAAAATTGTTGTCCAGAGGATTCCCTTCTCTATTAGTGTATCTTCAGCCTTAGTCTTACAGTTACAGTTTATCATTCCTTCATGAATGAAAGAGCAGCAGCAGGCATGGGAAATCAACCTGTAGCCACTATATGTGCCAAACGTTTTTTTTACTGATATTGGGGAACATTAGGAAAGATGTTATGGCGACCTCAGTACAAACCACCGTGGTGTTGGACCTTTGTGTTTGGGATAGTGGGCAGGATAGCTTTGAGGAGGATGCAGCAGGCACCAACTACGTTTTCCTGGCACTCTCCCCCAGCACTCTGAGCAACTCAGCCACATCTCTCCAAGGAGCTTGTTGGACAGGGTTGCAATATGCAGATAGCAACAGCAGGGTTTGGCTGCACAAGGAGTCCTGTCCTTGAGAGAACTGCCATCGGGAAAGCACTAGGTCATGCTATAGGAGCAGTATGAAGAGAACTCAGTGTGATGTCATTGTCTCTCAGTGCCAAAAGAAAATGAAACATAGAAAGGGTAATGTGAGGAAGGCAGACAGCCCAGTGTCCTGCACAGTGACATACTCATACTTCTTCTCCTTCTGATGGGAAATGTGGGAAGGGTCTTACTGAACCATCATCTTCCTGCTCAGCTGAACGAATTGTCAACTACAGCTCCTCTTATCTGAATTATTAAAAGCCCAGAGCTTTGTTGTCTCTGGTCACAATCAAAATGTTGCTCCTGAAAGAACTATCACTCTACCGCACATTCTCCCTACATATCCTCTACTGCTAGCCTTCCCTGCCAACTAGGGTAGACCAAGCATTTAAATGTTTGTGTTTCCTTCAAAAGAACTGTCATAATGGTGGCAGCACCTGAAAGAGTTACAGTTGGAGTGCAGCTCTTGGCTCCCAGTTCTGAAGTCCTTACTTATTCTTAGAGAAATGTCTGAAGAGAGAACCTTAAAATTTTAAGTCATATTCTGATGCATATTCTGCAAAAGAATGACTGCAAAACTAAGTCAATATCTTAGTGTGTTCTATGGAGATCAAGGAAGATTTCACCAAAGCATTTGGATATGATCATACTAAGCAACAAATGGGCAGATGAACAGATGGTCTCTGTATCTAGCAAATAATAGGTGGAGTAATCCCAAATGCCATATTTGGGTCACATGGATTTTAGTTTTATATCTACGATTAGGGCAAGCAGATTGTAATTCCAGCCATTCAGATTTATGTGATTCAACTGAGGAGTATGAGGGGTAGGTATTGTTATGAAGGCCATAGGAATGAAACACTGAAATTCCTTGCACCCCTCTCAGTACTGCACTGCACAGTGTCTGCTGAAAGAGTGTGCTTTTTGCTGCTTTTTGGTGAAAATCACCCATACTCAGGTTACAATTAGTCCACATGCTAGACTATTTGGTGAATAAAGAATTGGTTGGATAGTCTCAGCCAAAGGGCTGTAGTCAACAGTTCTATGTTCAGGTGGAGGCCAGTCACAGCTGGCGTCAGGGCAATCCCAGATAGGTATATAGACTGGAGAAGAACTCACTGAGAGCAGCCTTGTTGAGAAGGACTTGGGAGTTCTGGTGGATGAAAAGCTGGACACGAGTCATCAGTGTGTGCTTGCAGCCTGGAAGGCCAACTGTGTTCTGGGCTGCATCAAAAGTAGAGTGGCACCAGGGAGGAGGAGGGAATTGTCCCCATCTGCTCTGCCCTTTGACGCCCCATCTGCAGTATTGCATCCAGACCTGGGGCCCCCAGCACAGGAAAGGTGTGGAACTGTTGGAGTCTGCCCACAAAGACAATCAGAGGGCTGGAGCACTTCTCCTATGAAGAAAGGCTGAGGGAGCTGGGCTTGCTCAGCCTAGAGAAGAGAAGGCTGTGGGAGGACCTCATTGAGGCCTTCCAGTATCTAAGGGGATCTTATAAGCAGGAGAGAGACCCACTTTTTACATGAACAGTAAGACAAGGAAGAATGGTTTTAAACTAAAAGAGGGGAAATTAAGATTAGATATCAGAAGGAAATTCTTCACTCAGAGTGTGAGGCAGTGGCACAGGTTGCCCAGAGAATTTGTGAATGCCCTGTTCCTGGAGAAGTTCAAAGCCAGGATGGATGGAGCCCTGGATAGCCTGAGCTGGGGGGTGGCAATCCTGCCCCATAGCAGGGGGTTGTAACTGGATAATCTTTAGGGTCTCTTCCCACCCAAACCTTTCTGATTCTGTGATTCTATGACTATGATTCTCTGATGAGTTTAGCTTCACCTCTCTCCATAAATGCAGTTGGAAGCAACTTACACACGGATTACTGGTGCATTAGTTTTCACTACACACCAATTCCAGTGCTCCCAGTTGTGGGACCAAGATGCCCTTCTGTCTCTTCACCCCTTTGAACCAGTAAGCATGCAAGCCTTTTGTCTACTGAGTAAAATGAACAAACAGCAAACCTACCTCACTGACATCCTGGATGTTCATGGTTTTCTTGGTTTGCGCAACGTAGCCCACAATGCCTAAGTCCAGCGGGTAGACTATCTCGCAGTCAGGGGAAACCAGGCATTCCTCCAGCGTGCTTCCCTCTTGAATGTTGAAAAGCCTTGTTGCAAGTTCAGGTGTGCCGTTTCTTTGCCTGTACATGAAAAGACTACAGCGATCAGCATGAATAAGGGACCTGATTCTTCTCAAAGTCTTGAATACAATTTTCTCCATGTTGATGCTTTCTTGCATGTCTTGTATCAACTCAAAAAGAATTTCACTTTCATTGTCATCGCAGGACTCTGTTTTCAGTTTCTTCTCAAAGTACTGCTTGGCAAAAGCAGGGTTGCCATCAAGAAACTTCTCCACGTCGTCTTCACTAATGCTCATTGTGAATGTCCTGAATCCTGTAGTAGTCCAATGATGTGGTCTATGCAAGAAGAACTCTTATTTCTGATGTAGTTCCTAAATTTTCATAATAGAAGATGTTGCTTCTAGAACAGCCAGAGATGATGTACCACTGCAAAGAGAGATCGTCATCAGGAAGGTATTCCTTTATAGTGCTGGAGGTGAGTCTGTGGGAGGACAGATCTTCTCAACCAAACAGATTAGATGACCTCTACAAAAGCTTTGAGTCAACTTTCTTCTTCTTAATCTAAATGCAAACAAAAAACTGAGTATTCACCATATCTTAAAGCACTCTCCTTTCTCTTGGCAAGCAGAAAACTTACTGAAATAATTACATTGTAGTAGCAACAAAAGAGAAGAGCTGCATCTTCTAACATTGAATAAGCTCTTTAAAGTCTAATTAAATATATACTGCTTGGACCTAATCCTCAGCTAACAAGGTGAGCATCTTATTATTTCTGCTCTCCCAGCTTGTCTAAGAAACATCTCTAATAGAATGTTAAATATGTCAGTCTTTAAAGCTGGATGGAGTTACTGGTAGACTACGGCAACTATAAATTATGATTACTAGCTAGCAAATCTCTCTGCTGAAGTAGTTAATGAACCTAAAAAGAATGGAGGTTTCCATTCAGATTGGGTAGATACACACACACTCCAGGTGTCCATGCAGATTCTAGATCAGTTCTGTGAGGCCTTTACGATAGCAAATGAATAGAACTTCTGTCTCCTGCTTTACAAAAGAATATTATGGATAATTTTTTTTCATCTGCTAAGAAGGGAGAAACTCTTCGCATAGTCTTCCTCTCACTGTTTTGAAAGGAACACTGAAATTTCCCACTATGAATAATTCACTTGTCTTGGACAATATAAAGCACAGTCCTGGTTTAGCATGATTTTGGTGCTGATGTTGACAGGATTCGTTCTACCTAGACCGTCTTGTTTGTCTTCCTGATTTTCTAATCCTGCCACTACTGAATGACCTGTGCTATACACACTGCCAAATTATTACCCCCAGCTGTATTTCCCTGCCCTCTCTCGGGGGAAGAAATACAGCAATCCTCCAGGATTATGAGGCATTGTTTCAGATAGAATAGATACATCCCATTCATCTACTTAGCAAGACAGACTGAATTGTATATAATATTTGATATGTGAGGAAACAGGATAGCTGTTTTCTCCTTCAGTGGACAGAGCCAGGGCAAAGAACTTCAGGATGCCTTTGACAAAATGTTTGTACCTGCATTTCTACTGGAACTGAGGCTTTGAAGTGAATGATACCATGTACAGACTTTGCAGGTATAATCTACAGACACCCTTGGTCTATGGTAGCAACAGAAGCAGTCCAGGAGCTTTTAGTGTCTGCTAAAAGAATAATGCACAGAATGATGTGGCAATCATCCAACATCAAAATTGAAAATCTATCTAATGACAAAAAGAAGATCTGGCTGGAGTTTGTTCCCTTTGCAATAGTAGAGATCAGCTTGGCTATGTATTTTTTCTTCTCTGACTCTCCATGCAAGTTGCACTTCTTTGTGAGCAAAGTTCATGCTGGCCCTCCTTTTGAGGCTTGAGACCTCCTGCATTCTGAACACAAAGAACCATGTTGCCCCATCAGATAAGAGGGCCATGAGCTGATTTCTCCATTTAGCTGTGCTGAAGGTGCGTTATACCTTCAATAGAGTAGACATAAGGGGATAGATCCCCAAATCCCGCAAATTATGACCTAAAATTATCACCTTCAACTATCGGGCCACTCTGTAACTCTCACTTATGTGAGAGGCTTTGCTATGCCCACTTGCAGTCAGATGTCCAAGTTGAGCTAGGCTACAACCAGACTTAGATTCCCCTGTGCAGATGTTGTTCAGACTGCAGCAAAAGGCCGGGAAAACCTTTACAGCTGCAGGGTGTTGGACCTGTATAACTGGGTTTCATCTACCAGTGGGAACTTCCCCAGTCATGCCAAGACTATATGGAGTGGTATGAAGTTTATTCTTCACAAAAGAGTACTGTCAGAATAAATAATAGTGATGTAATGCTGTTCTTTTAGAGCCACTTCTATTGTATTTTATCTGCTGCTGTAAATTATTCTTGGTGCTATCAGGCACTAATCTTGAATGTGTCAGTTTGTGCTTTTGCTGCAAATGCCACAAAGGGCACTACTCTTAGGGAAATTAAACAATGTACAAGAGTCTTCATCAGTGGTGATCAGAGGGAATTTCAGTCCAAATCGTCCTTCTTACTGGAAGATAACCAAGGCCCACCTGCTCAAGGAGTAAAGGTCCAGGCTGCCTGCCCCTGTGGATGCTGGCACTACTACCAAGAGTGTACAGAAGCCCAAATGTGACTGTGAGTGCCTAAAGGGACGGTGACAAGAGAGGAACAGGGGCAGCAATATTAGAAATACATACACGTGCAAGTCTGGAGCTCAGGAAGAGGGCAAATGGGAAGGACCTTGTCTCCCACCAGCATGGAGGACAGATCAACTAGATGCTGTCTGCCTCTGAAAGAAGTGAGCATCTTCACACAAATTCATGCAAACTGAAGTGTCGGGGGAGATAGATAAGAGAAAAGACCTTTCAGAAAATACAGGTAAAACAGTGGTGTACAGGCAGACACACAAATCTAGAAATTTGTTATTTATAATCTCACTTTCTGTTCTGTCTTTCAGTTCCCTAGGGTTACTGGAGATGGAGTAAGAAATTTGTTGGATCAACTGATTGAGCATCTTAAATGAATTTATGCTAAAGTGGCAGAGATTTTCTAGTAGATTACACAGCCAGGATATTAAAACAGAATTGTTTCTGAAAAAGACTGCTGTAGAAAGCGGTGTGTGCCAGAGATGCACATATTGCCTTTCATGTTGATATTCTGAAGAAGGGACAAGAACCATCTCAGGACCACCATGATGGTCTGCTCCAGATCTCTCATATGGAGATGGATGGAGTATTTTTGTGAGCAACAAGCACAGGACAGTGTAGCAATGGGGAAATTTAATTGCCTTTTATCTGTAGGGAATGCAACACTTCAGGTTGTAGGTTATCCTCTAAGGTCTTGAATGTTGCAGTAGTTTTCTGGCTGCTAAGGGTGGCAGAAAGAGCAGGAGAGAGCTTTCTTTGCTTTTCAGTGTATTCAGGGGAAGAACTATAGGAAAGAACTAGAGTTAGAGACAGAGTTAAAGTCAGTGAAACCATGAAATGAGAATTTGAGATTGGAGAAATGGAATATTTCGTTAATCTGGTTAATCTTAAGATAAAAAGTAAAAGAAACAAATAGAAAAATAGGAAGTATTAAGCATGAAAACATTATTGAAGATCTTATAAACTCCATGAACCAGTAAAAATAGAGTCTGAAAGGTCAAGATGCAAAATCAAATGAAAATAGGAATATAAAGGGCAAGGAGCATTTTATGTTACCACATTGGGAAGAGTAGGAATGTCAAGAACAGTGTTGAAGGACTGCAGTATTTAGAGGACTGCATGAAGTAACCACTGAGCTGTTATTTCTAATAACCTTCTGGGGCTCTGAAATGCTAGAAAAAAAAATAGATTCAGTTTTCTTGTAGCAAAACAGAACAATAAGAGAATCCCATAGCAGTCTGCCTTAAATCTAACCTATCAGAAAATTCAAGAGCAAATAAGTCGCTGTAAGTAACTGCAGGAGAAAAATTATAGCCAGTGTGGTTTTGTCAAGGGCAAATTGTGTCCAACCAGCATAATTTCCTGCACGCCAAAGAAAGAATTCTAAGGGCAGAAGGAAAAGTAACTACTTACATAGCACTTGACTTCATGAAATGAGGTGTGAGATGTTCTCTCAAGATGACGGCTTAGATGAAATACTTTAAAGGTAGTGGCAAATATATTTGCGAGAAGAAGGGTGGTTTTTAGTAGCTCATTAATTAAATGGAAAAACTTTTTGAGTAGGATTGTCTGCAGAGGTAGTCATAGCCATACAGCTGGGTCCAAAGATGCATATTAATTCAACATGTAAGCTGTGTCAGGTGTCTGTATATGTTTTCGAGCACCTTTGTTAAAATAAATTGCAAACAGGTGTGTATAGGAGAAGTGGGCTACAGCTCACCAAGGGTGCATAGAAAACCCAGCTTATGTGGAGAACGGTCACTTGTTGATTTCAGGATAGTGAGCAAGTATCTGAGCTTATCACAGGCTGGACATGAGTGAACTGATGTGTAGAAAGGGATATGTGTCTATTTGGAGGAACATTCAGTTGACTAACACATTACACCAACTTCTAAACAAGTGTGTAGCCTTGAAAGACAATGGGAAAAGGTGACCTCTGAGTGAAAAAGACTGAGGTTTATCATCTCTCTTTTGAGTCATCTCCATTTAAAAAACAAAAACAAAACAAACAAACAAACAAACAAAAAAAAACAGTATAAGTTTGAAAGTATAAGTGTATAAAAGGCTACTAACAAGAAGGAAACAGCTTGTTTCTCGTGTTGGACATACAGGATAGGAGAAAATAATGGAACCACACTGGAAGGGCTTCCACAACAAGGGGAATACTGAAAACAATGAAAAACACCACTCTTTTCTTCTCTTAGATACCTCAAGAAATAAAGATGCCATCCTTTTCCAAGCAAATTCTTGCCAGAAGTGATGCACACGTAATGACTCTTGCTTGCTGGAAGAGGTATGGATGAAACAGGTGGAGTAAAACATCTTTTCATGAGAGTTCAGCTTCCCTTGCCCTCAGCTTTCCCTTGCATCTCAGACCTATTAAAACTGAAGAAACCAGTTTTTGGACACCAGGAAAAGCCTCACTTGCAGTACTGTAAGGTTGCAGGAGTAATTTTTGTGATGATTCATGATGAAAACCGAAGTCATTATTCAGCTTTTCAAGACCTCTACCTCCATTCAGTACCAACTTGGGAACCTTCCAACATGCTGTTAAGATGACAGCTGTGTTTCATCCCATACCAACAGGGAGCGGAAAGAACCAGGTAAGGTCAAAGTATTTAAAGA